CTTGGAGACGTATACATGCGTATTGTCAATGGGAAGCTTTCGAGGTGTTCAAACGTCACGGAATCGATCCTGTTTCTGCTATGAATTCTTCATTACCCTTGCAAATGATTCCATATTTTTTAATGACTCCTGATTGGATATTAAGACCTGTGCTTGATAATATATTTAAACAAGAATCCATGAAGTTTGGCATAAATTTAATGTCTCAAGACTTTAATTTTGGAAATAAACTCGAAATTGATGATTTACAAGGTGAAATTGTTAGATTAGGTGGTTCAGGAGGTCTAACAACTGTCTATAACAATGGGATATTAAGGTTGGTAAAATTAGTTGAAAATGTTATGCGAGACTTAAACCAAGATTGGAAAGTTGGGATCGATGCTGTTGATGTTTTGGCTTATATTGAAAATGGAGTTGTACCAAATGTTTTGCTAAATAACTAGTTCATATGTTAACTTGAGTAATATTTTATTCATTCATTTACACATATTTTTTCTATATCTTAAATATTAAATAGTGATATAATAAATAACCACCAAACATTAATATTATTCTTACGATAAACAAAAATAACAAAGTGAAAACCAATGTTCAACGCAAATGATTTATTTCAAATCACTACTTCCAAAAGGCTCTGGCAATAAGTTTTTTATATTATCAACAATGTACTTTCCATCTTGGTTAGTGAGGTATATTGGGAGATCAGTTGCGAATTCACTGATAAATTGTCTATAAAAAAATATATATACAATGATTACTCTATATAAAAAGTCCCATTTTATATGTAAAAAAAGGAAATTAAAAATTACCGACATATGCCGCAAGGTCTTACAAAATTTCCCAAAGTGTCGCTGTAAATGAAAGTTAGTTATTTCATTTATAATATCATTAGATGGTTGCTCATACGTACCCGCTCACACTCATTGCAATAAATTTTCTTTGCCCTTCGCTCTGTGAAATTAAATGTATCATTACTAATTAAATTAAAATCCGGAAATAAGAGAATTTAGAAAACGCGATTTTTAAGTTGAATGCATGTGAGAACTTACGACTGCTTTAGTAATTGCGACGCGTTCTGCACAGATGGATCCACCTTTAAGTAATGCAAGTAATCCATAATTAAATTTTGTCTAATATTTCTCAATATACAATGGCATTACTTACCATAGGAAGAATTTTCAACATTAGCACCTTGTAAAATATAAATTATTAAATGTTATTGATGCAATTGTCAGATAAATCTCATGACCATTGCACTTATATATTTTACCCGTATAATATTTTCCATTTGCACCGAGAAGCGCTGAACCGACGTGATAATTAGAATAGGGGCAGTAGGCAAATTCCTTGGCTAATATTTTGTTATTAAATTTATATAAAAACAGAGCTAAAATCAATAGTGAAATGAGTGTCGCTAAAAGAAAACCCGACAATTTAAATATAAGTCATATTTAAATTTTCGGGTTTTCTTTTAGCGACACTCAAATATATGTATATTACCCTTTAAAGCTAATTCTACAAGTTTTTCAATTTCTTCAGAGGTGGGTTCTCTCATGGTTTCATTAACTAAAGTATATGATCTACAAGAAAAATTTTATCGATATCGATATTGGCTAAGTATAGATAATCTGCCTACGTACGTAGCATAAACAGCAGGGACAGTCCAATGATTGGCTATCCTGAGTCAGCAATTACGTCGATCAAAACATGATTATCAGCCAATCAAAATCATTCAACAAAATTTAATATTCGAATAAACGATTTATTCTGACGAAGCTTGATCTTTTAATTATTGTCATATTATATTTTTAAATAATAATTTTATTCGATTCTCAGTCATCATTACCTTTAGCAAATGATTTTTTTTTGTTTATAATATTAATCATAAAACACTACCCATGTTTATTTATCTTGTATATACATATATATACATTATTTAAACCAAATCGCCATCAACCCTAATAAATTCAAAGATTAAATTAATACATATTATTAAGAATAAGAGTGTAGTATATAATAAAATATATCATATTAA